CGGCCACATGACCTGCTATTTGAAGAGGACCCGGTGGATGCCCAGAGCGGGCCGAGCACAATCCAATTACACCCCGGGGAGACACGCCACATTTGCTGAACTGCGCCTCAGTGATATTCTGTTTCCTGTGAAGATCCGCTCGCATGTTTACGGTCGGCGAGGAACGAGGATCAGGAGAAGGTCCGGCGAGCTTCAGACGCCTGGAGGACGGTTTACGAACTCCGGAGCTAACGCGGCGTCGACGCTCCGAGTTCGCTCGTTTGTCAAAAGTTACGTAAACACAAGTCACCCAGAGAGGAGGCGACGGTTACAACCCGTCTGAAGGCCTTCGTCTCGTGTACAACCCACCGACCACAACCAAACGTAGTCACGTCATGGCTAGAATCTGCTCAACAAGCTGCTAATATACATGTTTAAGACAAAATCAGCCTTCATTCATCCCACAGCGGGGAGGGAATAGCACTTCTACAGCAGCAACATCGTCTAAAATGTAGCAAACACAAGTATAAAAAGTAAAACTAAACAGGAAATAGACAAAAGTAGAGTTGATTCTGTTCAGATTCTTCCACATGAAGGAATTCAGACGTGTACAGATTATTCTATACGTAGGGAAATACTCACAATGCACATTATTCTATGTTTTTAACGCTTTCTCTTCATAAATGTACAAAAATCTGTATAATGAGAAGCTACAACGAGCAGAAGCTTCACATCTTTCCATAAAACATGAGGTTAGCTTCTGTTTCAAGTCATTTATGACATGTTGAGTCATTTTGGACAAGTTTCAAGTTATTTAGGTCAAGTTTTGAGTCAACTGGACAGATTTTAGGTCAATCTGGACCAAACTTGAGTCATTCTTGATGGATTTCAAGTCATTTAGGACTAATTTTGAGTTAATTTGGACAAGTTTTAAGCAATTTAAGACGAGTTTCAAGTTATTTTGTACAGCTTTAAAGTCAACTGGACAAATTTTAGACACATTTTAAGTCATTCAGGACTAATTTTGAGTTAGTTTGGACAGGTTTCAGGTTATTTAGATAAAGTTTTGAGTCAATTGGACACATTTTAAGTCAATCAAGGCCAAACTTGAGTCAGACAGGTTTCAAGTCATTTAGGACTTATTCTGAGTTACTTGGGACAAGCTTGAAGTCAGTTAAGATGAGTTTTGAGTTATTTTAGGTAGGTTTTAAGTCAACTGGATGAATGTTAGGTCATTTTAAGTCATTTTGGTCTAAATTAGTGTTTTTTCAGACAGGTTTTAAGTCAACTAATTCAAAAGACATTTTAAGTCAATCAGGACAAAATTTAATTCTGGACACGTTTCAAGCCATTTAGGGTTAATTCTGAGTTAGTTTTAGGTCACTTATACAAGTTTCAAGTCATTTTGAGCAAGTTTTAGGTAATTTTGGAATGTTTCAAGTCATTTAGGACAAATTTTTTTGAGTTGTTTTGGAAAAGTTATTTAAGACAAGTTTCAGGTTGTTTCTGGAATTCTCATCACATGTATGATTAGAGGCGTCTTCCAGGACGTGTCAGCGATTGTTTGGAGAACTTTTTTTAGTAATTTCTCTCAAAGTTTCAAGACGTTCCAATAACATGTTTATATAAAACATAAAAAAAGTCTCAAACCCTTAAAGTGAAACGTTTGAATGTTTCGGTCATTCTAGTGTTTGAACTGATCAACCAGCTCAACAGTTAATCACTGAATCATTTCGGTGTAAATTAGTAAATGAAGCCTGATGAACGTTTGCTGCGTTCAGTGTCAGGCCGCGATAACAAACAACACGTCTGGAATCTGTCGCCTCCACGTCCACGGATCTACTTCACATCTTCAGGAACACACTCGACCGTTCCGGCTTGTAATCGCGTTTTCAGAAAACCCGCTCCGGGTGTCTCGTCCATACAAGGCCTGGAAACCAGACGTGGCCGCGACGTATCTCCAAAGATACGTGGAGTGCCACAATATGTGAGAGCATCCAGAACACCTGATAGCTTATCAGGGGCCCAGATTAGATGCCGAAACCTGCATACCTCGCCTGCAGCAGCACCATGTTTGGCGAGCGCCGGTCCGCGCACAAGATAAACATTAAGCATCGGCGGGCTTCGGAGGTTGAGCGGTGAAGCAGGCCGAGCTCGCCACGGCGCTTTACTGGTGCGAATCAGTGATCCATTGAGTGCAGAGGAGACGTCCAGCATGTGAGAGTCACGCCGGCCGGGCTGTTAAACTTTGGCTCTTACAGCTGGTTCACTGGTGTCGAGCACAAAGCTGCACTTTTAAAGAAAAAACACGGGATTCAAACGACCACACCTGCCCGCAGAAGGAAAAGAGAGAGTGGACGCATCCAGTCACATCATTACACCAAAGATTAAGAGCTGCTGTCCAACCTTACGCTAATTCGCCCGAGTCCCTGCCAGTCTGGACGGCTTCCAAACATTTCCACGACCATTAGATTCCTGTGGCCATTACTCTCCCTGTCTCAGCGTCTGCCTTTAACACAACTCCAGTCTGGCTGCTGGACGTCACTGAATTATATCCACAAAAAAAAAAATAAAAACACATCTCTGCACAGCTTGTTCTGTCAGAAAACCAGCCCGGGAGCCAAAACGCTTCACAGGAAAAGCAGCAGATGTGAAGAACGATGCGTGTTTTAGAGACTTTTTGCACCGTTTAAATCTGACAAATGTCCCGTCTACGGATTAAAACAACAAGCCGAGCATTAAACACTAATCTACAGCCCTGTGTCGTCACTGCAAGGTCAAAAGGTGACGCCTTCGACTCCAACTCGCCATTTTCCCAGAAGCCTCTACCTCATCGTCCACAGAAACCTCAGCAGTGGACCAAATATGGCGTTGCATCGGGCCGGGCATGTTTGGCTATTCGGTTACGGGGTGACGAACGGCACCGCGAGCCCTAATCGAGTTGCTCCAAGAGAAATATCTGACATAATCCGATCTACCTTTCTTGCATCACTCGGACGAGCAGCGCTCTGAAACAACAGTCTCGAGATGCGCCAAAGAAAACCGGCAGATTGTGCAACGTGTACAGGACAGAGGGGGGGAAGCGAGAGGACGTTAACCGATTAGCTTTTTTTTTTGGACAAACAACATCACTCCGCTGCGTTAATTAAGTCGCAGCTTCTCCTGCAGTGCGTTACAAAGACTTATTGCCGACATGTTGCAGCAGCGGCTGTTTGAACTCCAATTGCTCCCTCGGCTTCGGTGAAAACTAATTCGCACCGGCGCAGAATTCCCTTTACTACCACCGTTCAGCGCCGTGTGAACTCTGGCGTTATTGAGCACGAAGCCAATATAACCCGCTTCACACAGAAGTCATGTGTCCTCGTCGTTTACTTCGTATTAATAAAAAAAAAAAGAAGCCTGACTGTCCTCAACGTCGGCAATAAAGATAAAAGCGGCGAAATGAAGGAACAAGCAGGTGACAGGTGATAAATTCAGTGAGAAAATCTATACCTGCTGCTTCATAAAGGCTGTGGCTGAACCATGGAGTCATCTAAACTTCATGGTTCAACTTTTATGTGGTAAAAACTGCATTAAACGCTCTAAAAACGTTCCCACAACTTAACTGAACGCATGGCGACAAGAAACAAAAGCTAAATGTTCAGGCTAGTTTAACTGAAACTAAATTTAACTGCATTAAATTAACTTTATGCGTAATTTAGAAAAATTAAAAACTAAATTCAGTTGCTTCAGTTCAACATCATGCATAAATTAAACTCAAATTTCCATTAAAAAAAACCCGTTCCTTTAATTTAACTTTATGCGTAATTTAAGCTAACATTTACGCATCACTTGATTTGAAACTGAATTCAGTTGCATCAGTTCAACATTATGTGTAGTTTAGACTCAGACTTCTGCATTAGTTGGTTGAAATTAATATTTTGAGTTGAGATAACTTAATGAAATTAGCTTGATAGCAGGTTTGCAGGTTTTCAGGCTGCCTCCTTCATCTGAACACACCTCAGACAGGTGAGACTGGTGATTAGAAATACGTTTGATTGTAGAGGAAAAGTTAATTCCCTGAACTCAGTATATCTTGTTGGTTGAACATAATTTCACTAGAAGTTGTCACAACTCACATTTAATGAGTTGTGTTGACATAATAACTTAACACTGGGTGTAAATCAAACTCAAATGTCTTCATTACTTGATTTTTTAAAATCTAATTGTGGTAACTTAATAAAATTGGCTTGATAACTTCATTTTGAAAAGTCCCCTCCTTTATCTAAACATGTCAGGATAATTTCAGGCAGTTAGTTCCCTGAACTCAATATATCTTGTTGATTGAACATAATTTCAGGAGAAGTTGTCTCAGCTCACGTTTAATAAGTTGTGTTGACGTAATAACGTTGGTCAGCTTAACGTTGACTGTAACTCAGATTTCAGCATTAGTTGAATTTAGGAAGAAAATTCAAGTTGAGGGAACTTAATAAAAATGGTTTGATGAATTCATTTTAAGGAGGGGGGGGTCAGTCCTCTCCTGTATCTAAACATGTTCAGACAAGTTTAGATGGTTCATTAATTACCGACTAATAATTTTGATTTTATGAGCTACTTCCCTGAACACAATAAAGCTTGTTGGATGAACATAATTGTACAAGAAGTTGTCACAACTCAAGTTTAATGAGTTGTGTCGACATAATAATGTTGGGTGTAATTTAAAGTCAAATTTCTGCATGAGTTTATTTTAAACACAAAATTCTAGTTGAGGTAATTTAATAAAACCTAATTGTTTTACCTCCTCTCCTTTACAGTACCATGTCTGGTTATTTAATGAAATTAATTTAGACTTTAAACTCAAAGCTGCCTCCTGGGACCAGAAGTCACCAGAACTCAGACATCCTGCTGAGCCCACACAGGATTGATCTGGATCATTATTATTTTTTACAGTGTTCATTTAAACGCCTCGACGTGCTTCCTACCAGCTCGGCTGCTAGCGGGCTAGCCGGAGCGGGTCGGAACCGGACCAGGTGGGCACGTACCTCCTCTTCGTGGCTGCTGAAGTCGCTCTGCTCGTTCTCCTTCTCGATCTTGTTGTTGTTCATCCTGACGCTGGACTTTTTCCTTTTCCTCTCACTCACTCGGACGCTTCCTTCTTCTTCTTCTTCTTCTGGTTCTGGTTCTGGTTCTGCTGCCACAGATCGAGCCTCCAGTCCTTCTGACCCGAGCTTCACTTCTTCTTCATCAATGACGGCAGCAGCCTGGGTTCTGATCCGGACGGTTTATCAGAAATATAAAAAAAAGGAGGTAAAAGCTGCGTGTGTGTGCTGTCAGATAGTCCTCCACATTCCCCTCACAGCCGCTGCTTCTTCTTCTTCTTCTGTTTCTTCTTCTTCTTCTTCTTCTTCTTCTCCTCCTGCGGCTCTGCTGCTGCTGCTCGTCCCCAAACACTGACTGTTGACCGGAGCGAAACTTCTCCGCTCATCCCGGCGTTCAGGAGGGAGGAGGAGGAGGAAGGGAGGAGGAAGGGAGGAAGGAGGGGTTTCGGTCGAGGATGCACCGTCGGTTTTTTTTTAAATCCACATTTATTAAAGAGCCCCGGAACCAGCGGTACCGGCCCCCGTTTGGACCAGCCGCCGGTGTGTTTGGATGTAGGTGTTGCTACTTCCGGGTTTGTTTTTGACCACTGGACAGGATGCGCAACGAGTTAAATGGTTTTAAACTATTATTTA